GTTATGTTCATAACAAAGCTCTTCAGTAGGAATTGACATCATTTAAAAAAGAGGAAAAAGGAGGCTCCAAGTACTTGAGTTTCAAACCTGGGCACTCTAAAATAAAATTTAGTGCTCGTTTGCCATGCCTCCCTCTTCCAAACCATTTACAGTTGACCCATGGACAAGATTGCATTGTGCCTCCCCTCCGCTCCCTTCGGCAGATAGAGTAAGAACGTTTGACATCGGTGCTCTTAGAGTCGTCGTGGCTAAACAGGTGTGTTATCTCTTATTTAATTCAGCAGCCAAGCTATTTGAACACTATTTTTGGACCTATAATCTACTGAAAAATTAATTCTCTGTCCCAAATGTGTGGGTCCAATGCAATTATTTAATCATACTCAGCAGTTGCTATGGCTAGTTATATTCAAAATGATTGTTGAGTTCAAAATAATTAAAATGAGAAGAGGTTGAACCTCACAGGAGTGCATTCACACCAGCTCACAAATGCTACTGTGAAGCAGTGTGTCCTGCTTTACAAGAGAAACAGAAAGGCCGATGGGGGAGCAGTTGCTGAACTCCTCTGATCTGTCCATTTGTTCTTACTCTGCAAAGCCTGGATGCAGCACTCTCATCAGAAGGGGAAAACTGGGCCAAATGAAGGGGGTTATTTATATGAACAGCACATTTTGGGGAATCAGGATAATAATGGGAATGTCAGCTTCATCTCTCTCTACATTAGGCATAACCTTCCCAACGGGACCACAAGATGGAAGCTGTTGGATGAGCACTGTCTCTCATTAACCTTGGGAACTTCCCTCCAGTCTCCATTCATAACCAACCACTTACAACTGACTATTATTCTTTCTTTAACTAAATTTAAAACTCTAATTTTTAAAAATGTCTGGGTTAATTAAGCTTTAACCTATTTTTAAGTGTCTTATTTTTTCCTCTCCAGTCCATTACATATTGTTTTTTGTCAGAAGTCTGACAAACATTTCTTCCTTTTTTCTTTTTTTACATTTATGATAGTCCCTTGTATTGAACCATATATCTGATCAGAGCTCCTTCACTGGTGTATACTTTCCTTATATTCTTCTTTATGATTTCTACCCATTATTTGTCTGTTTCCATTTACTTAGACCTTAGTTAATCATGCTCTTCTACATTTTATTTTATATTCTACACATTATTTTCACTACTCCTGGAAAAGCTTCCTATTCTCCCATAATCACTGATTCCACTAACATTCCATCCTTAACTTGCAATTATGTGTTTGATTTGTCCTAAAAGTGCATGTTCCCTGGTAAATATGTATTTTAAATTTATATGTACATGTTATTGTGCTAAAAATCACAATATTGATTCCTTTTTTAAACACTTTTTTGAGGATCTATTTACATTGTTGTATAAACATCTACTTCATTTACTTCTCACTTCTGCAAATTGTTCTCTAATGCATGCTCACAGGTAGTATGCCCATTCCTCTGATGATGGGCATCCAGGTTTCCTCCAACCACTTTTTGCTACAAGCAATGCAATAATGAGCATCCTTAGGCCATTCCCCTTGTAGTCCTGCACAAGAACTTAGCAAGGACATATTCTCACGACTGAAATCACTGGGATGTATGCATCTTTAAATACAGGCAGAGAGTTTTCCAGCGTACCAGTGCATACTCTCACCAGAATCTACCTCACCACATGCTTGCCAACATTTGGTATCATCTACTTTTAAAAATTAATGATATATCATGGGTTTTTTTTATCATTTAGTGAGCATTTTCAGATTTTCTAACTGTGAGAATTTCTCCATATACTTGTCAGCCACTTAGAAAAACCTTTCTATGAATCAGGGATTTCTATATTTTCTAGCTTTCTGTTGGCTTAAAGCTTTATGTTTTATGAGGTTGTTTCCTCTGCTGTAAGTTCACAAGATTTTCTATACTGTTTTTTATTAATTTTACACTACCTTTCTCTTTACATGTAAGTTGTTAGTCCATCTGGTTTCCACTTTTGTGTATAGTAATCTAAGGATCTAGTCTTAACTTTTTTCATATATAAGAGCATTTTCCTAGCATAATCTACTATGCTGTTACTTCCCCATTGCTTTGGGGTGACAGTTTTATAATATATCATATTTCCATACAAACATGTATCTACATCTGAGATCTCTTTTCTTTTGCACCAGACTTCATTTTAATATCCCTGAACCTTTTAAATAATATTTTTCAATCCTCATCCAAGGATATATTTATTGAGTTTTTAGAGACAGCAAAGAAGAGAGAGAGAGATGGAGAAACATCTATGTATCAGAGAAACATCAGTCAGTTGTCTCCCGACTGGGAATTGTACCCATAATCCTTTGGTGCACAGGATGATGCTCTAACCAACTGAGCCACCCAGCCAGGGCAATAATATTTTATAACTGTGACTTCACAGAGTGTTTCAAATATTGATGTTCCCCTTATTTTTCTCTTATAATTTAATTGTACAAGTTGTATACTTTTATTTTTCCATGTAAATTTTAGAATGAGTACTCATATTCCTCAAAATAAATCCAGCCAAAATTTTGAATGTATTTAATTGAATGTAAAGACTAATTTGGGGGGAAATGGCAGCCTTATATTTTATCCCATTTATTAACATGTACCTTTTCAATTACTCATAGTCTATTACAATTTTAAACAATTTCTGTCAATACCTTGTGCAGGCTTGGTTAAAATAAAGCCCATATGCTTCATAATTTTATTTTTTATTATATTAATATTTATTATATTTGCTAGTCACTTATTGTTAATATAAAGAGAACTATTGATTTTTTCATTGATCATATATTCAAAAGCCTTACTAACTTTTTCTCATTAGGTCTTACATATTTTTACTCTCCTTTTATTGTTACTCCTGCCATTTCTTATATGATTTTAAACAGGCCTACAAAGTCTATGTGAAATAGTAGCTGTAGGAGTGGACATCCTTATTATAGATCTTAATGAGAATGTATAAACTGTTTTGATTGTTACTAAATAGTAATTTGCTGTAGGCTTTGGTATATAGTTTCCTTTTAAGGTTAGAAAGTTACCTTCTGTTTCTGAACTTCACATGGTTTGTATGAAAATGATTAATTGACCTTTACCAAATTTTTTCTTGTATCTCATAAAAATGACTTTCAATTCTCTTTAGTCTATTTATATTACAATTTATTGATGATGTCCACCAAATGTTTAGAAAGGCTAATAAAATGGTCCATATTCATAGAATAATAGTTCTTAATTCCTTAGATCATCATGAATAATAAAATTATTAAAGTGCAGATTATTAATATTACTTCCTACTCTTTGCATTGGTTTTCAAACCATGCCCTTTAGAGACCAAGTCAAGGGAGAAAGAATGAATAAGGTACTAAAAATACTGCTTTTTTTCTTTCCCTGCAAAACAGTGTAACTTCAGAAAAATTCTTCTTTTTGTTTTTTTATTCATTATACTTCTGTTTAAATTTTGTTTGTTAAGAGATGACGGTTGCATGTCACTGGTTTAATGTTTTAAATGTATACATTATTTTAAATAATTTTATTTATTTTAGATTTTTTATTTATTTATCTTTGGAAGGGAAGGGGAGGGGGAGAGAAATATCAATGTATGATTGCTCCTCGTGCGACCCCTGCTGGGAACTGGCCCCTGCTGGGAACTGGCCTGCAACCCAGGCACGTGCCCTGACTGGGAATCAAACCACGATCTTTTGGTTCACAGCCCTGTGCTCAATTCACTGAGCTACACCAGCCAGGGCTAAACATACATTTTTAACAAAGGCACTGTTATTAAAGTTGATCTCTAAATGACAGTTCTTGCATGAGGTGAAAAGAAACAAGTTAGGTGGAGGCTACCGTACACAACATTATATCTCTGCATTTGTGATTAAAATTGACTTTGTAAACACTTTTAATTCATTTCTGTTAAAAACAGTCATTGAACACAAAGTTCCTCATCAAACTGATGTAGATACTGGAGTCATATAAATACATGTCCTTTCTATAAAGCTACTGTCCTCAGTGAGACAGTGCATATATTGACTACTTGTAATGACTACTTGTATCACCAGCACACCACACTGAGCTCTAAATTGAGACTCAACCACACAGGACTGCGTTGATTTTGATGGGCCCTAGAACTTGGCCATTATGGGCCCTTTCCTCCATGCAATAGTATTACATGTTATATCTGCATTGGCACAAAAATAAGTATGCTACCTATTAAAACTTAAACATTCATCATTTTATTCATATTTGAAAAGAAATCAAAACATTTTTATAGTCTCCTAACAGTGCCTAGTGTGCCTAGTGGATAAGTCAGCCTTGCAGCCATGGGCTAGGCATTCAAATACACACAGGATTCTGACAGGTAGTAATTGTTATTGGGACCAACTGGGAATAATATATTAATATCCATCTCCAGTAACAAACAGATAACAGACAGAGGAGGGTATCCTGGTAGAATAGAGAACATGCTTCAAATCCAGTGGGTCAGCTATAACAGAGCTCAATGATAGAAATGGATCCAAAGTTTCAAATAACTATAATTTGTTTGAAGATAAGCTAAAAATACAGATTTTATACCATACCTCCTGCTCATACAATGCTGACCTTTAATTTAAATTTAAAGCACAGTGCATCAATCACTGCTAAGCAAAGCACATCTGTCTGCTACATCCAGACTATGGGCCACTGATTTGTGGTCAGTGCATTAAGAGGCAGAACCAATAAAATGACAATAAACTAGTCTGGGATCCAAATATCCCATAATCAAATGTGTTTTCTCTTAACCCCCCTAAAATCAAATTAGAATTCTTGCTCTAGTGACATGGGTTTCCAGTATGAGACTTGTCCCAGAGTTACACTGTTGCATCCAAATATAACAGTACAGTAGATAAAATATGATTCTTAAGAGAGGAGCTCTTCCCTCCACTGTTCTAACAAATTTCTGTTCTATCATCCATAGAGTGCTGTTGGAAAAAGAGTATATAAAATATGGGAAGGACCAATGATTCTATATTGACAGAATTTGTCCTGGTTGGACTTTCTTCCCACCCAAAGCTCCAGACAGTTTTCTCTGTGCTAATTTTGTGGATGTACCTCATGATCCTTCTGGGAAATGGTGTCCTTATCTCAGTAATCATCTATGACTCTCACTTGCACACCCCCATGTATTTCTTCCTCTGTAACCTTTCCTTCCTGGACATTTGCTACACAAGCTCTTCTGTCCCATTAATTCTTAGCAGCTTTCTGACAGTGAGGAAAAGTGTTTCCTTCTCTGGGTGCATGGTGCAAATGTTTCTCTCCTTTGCAATGGGGGCCACAGAGTGTGTGCTTCTAGGCATGATGGCACTTGACCGCTATGTGGCCATCTGCTACCCACTGAGATACCCCATCATCATGAGCAAAGGTGTCTATGTGCTCATGGCAGCTGGGTCCTGGGTCTCTGGGCTTGTCGATTCAGTGATACAGACATCTCTCGCAATGCGATTACCATTCTGCACTAACAATGTCATTAACCATTTTGCCTGTGAAATTCTGGCTATCCTAAAACTGGCCTGTGTTGATATTTCAATCAATGTGATCAGCATGGCAGGATCAAATCTGATGTTTCTGGTTATTCCATTGCTAGTAATTTCTATCTCTTACACTTTTATTATTGCTACTATTCTGAGGATCCCTTCCACTGAAGGAAAACGTAAGGCCTTCTCCACCTGCTCAGCCCACTTGACAGTGGTGATTATATTCTATGGAACAATTTTCTTCATGTATTCAAAGCCCAAGTCATTCAGGTCTGGCACAGATAATCAAGACGTCATTGAGGCCCTCATCTCCCTCTTCTATGGAGTAATAACTCCCATGCTCAATCCTCTCATCTATAGTCTACGGAACAAGGATGTCAAAGCTGCTGTGAAGAACTTGCTGGGCAGGAAAAACTCTCATGGGACATGAATGAATTCTGATTTACTCTGCATGATTCACCATTCAAAACTGCTGCAGACACAGAATGCAAATAGAGAACATTTCCACGCGAAAACAAATTCGCAGTGCCATCCAAAACCATATTATAGAATATTTTGGCTGCAGTTGTTACTACTAGTTTTTGTTCTAAGTGCAGAAATTAAACACACCTTTGGTTTTATAAAACAGTATATGGAATGCAAAATGTTGAAAGTCTCTTAGGAAGGCCCAGCAAAACATAATCATTCTTAAACCTTCAGAAAATAATAAAGTCAAAAGGTGTTCTAAAAAGAACTCTGTAACCTAAAATAAGTGTATTATTTGTTACTTATTCAAAGTGATTGTTAATCAGCACATGATTTATTACATACTCACTTTTAATTTGTTCATTTATTATGTGTCCACCACAAATATAAACTCTACGAGAGTAAGAACTTGCCTGTTAATTATTGTATAATATTTCAAAGGCCTAGAATAGGACATGACATCTTACAGATAGATGCTCAGTAAATATTTTTCAATAAATAAATGAATTATATCATATATAAAACTAGAAATGTATATCTGTTATAACTGAGGTTAAAAAGTTTATTCAAAAATATTTGATCTACCCTGGCTGTTGTGGCTTAGTGGATTGAGTGCTGGTCTGTGAACCAAAGGGTCGCTGGTTTAATTCCCAGTCAGGACACATGCCTGGGTTGTGGGCCAGGTCCCCAGTAGGGGGCACATGAATGCAACCACACATTGATGTTTCTCTTCCTCTCTTTCTCCCTTTACCCTTTGTCTAAAAATAAATTAATAAAATCTTTTTAAAAATTGATCCAATGTAATAGTATCTAAATAACCTGTATTGGCATTCTGTCACATGACTCCCTTAATAGTTAAAGTACTACCTTTCTTATGTACTAGGTATTATGTGATATAGAAGAACAGGTTTTATTTGCAGCTATCATAACTTCTGGATTTGATACATAATGAGACTAAAATAACTGAAAGAGTCCCTTAGTAATGCACTATAAGTTTTAACCTCATAAAATAGAGGTGACATGGTGCTAGAAAATTCTTCTTAGATTCTGAAGAGACCAGGTGGTAATGAAGACTTCTTTTCTAGTCTGCATTGAATCACACAGTTCCTAAACAGGAGGAGAACTAGACAGATCTGGTAACTGACAAAAACTGTAATGGGAGAATTAGAAGTGGCAAAAGAGAAAGAGTCAAGTTGTTCAGTAAACTGAAGGCTATAGGGTTCTGGAAGCCCCATAGCCATTAAAGGAACTGAGTCAGATCTATCCCTTTTGGGAGTCTACAAGAGTTTAAATTTAGAACACAAATCTGAAGTAAAAGACCATACCTACTTCTAAATTGTGAAAGTAAGCCCATTATATCTTCCTTTCCTATCAGCAGGTAATTATTCTTTCTTCATAAGACCAAATAAGTTAATTCATGATAGCATTAAAAAGTGCCTAAAACACTAAATGTACAATAAACATTGTTTTATTATTGCTGCTGTTGAGTGTACTACAATGGGCCATAAAGTTTTAAGTAGGCACAAGATTTTCATCCTCATTCTTTATGAAGTAATTTTGATAGGATTAAACTACTGAATGTCAGCTTCAAATCCACTTTTCTATGTCCTGCTTTGTGAGTTAGGATTAGCACCCTGAAAACCATATTGCTCCTTTGCTAGCTAGCATCTGTTAAATTCTTCCGAAAGAGTTGCTAGAGAGAGAATGGGAGGTCAGATGAAGATAAGGGACCTCCCTATGCAATTCTTGTTCCTGTCAGCATCGGGCCAGCTCTAATCCTTCACCATGACAATGGCAGCTCCTCCACTGCTTACAGTTTTGGTTTTAGTTTTCATTTCTTCTTCTCTATAACCCAGAGCCAGCAGCTACCAGTGCTACCTCCTCAGAGGTTTGTATGTGTTTCTCAGCTCTTCCTTCTGAAATGAATAGGCCTGTCAAGTCTTTAGCCTGTCTTGAAGATCTTTAAAAGCAATGAAATATGCAATTCTCTGCTTGAGAAATGTAGTGAATTAGATAGAGTATAAGCAATAGATTTGGCTAGATTATCATCTTCATACACAACTAAGTAACACAAGGTAGTGGGGAGATATTTGTAGTTCTTCCACTGTTGCTTTCTTATGTCTAAAATGTAGATTATGAAAGTTTCTTTAGTGTATACTAAAATAACATGATCATAGTCATATAGTCCTGTGAAAGGAAACAATTGAGTAGTTATACCAGACCCTGAACTACATGTAAGAAGGGACAAACTTAGGACATAAGCACAACTTTTTTTTTTAACTAAAGCACACCTAGCACCTACCTAAGTTCTATCCCTGGCTCATAGTATGCTATTTCTGTAAATATGTTAAAATAATTCATAAGTAACTAAATAAATGAATGAAAAAACTTCAGAAGGGTACATGTAGTTTCCAAAGTAATTTATCAAGATAATATTATTGGATTCTCATGATAACTGTTCAAGTAGCCAACATTTCCCCAACTTTATATAATATAAAACCTAGTTCCAAAATTACACAAATAGCTGAAGTCATAAACAGGATGTGGGGAGTAATTTATTTGAACAAAACAATGAACAAGTTTAATAACTTAGCTATTATGGAATACAAAATACAGACTCTTCTAAAGCACATATAAAACAAGTACAAAAATTGATTCCTTTTTAGACTGAAAGCAAGAATCAGCAAATTTTAAAAATTATATTAAACAGTCCATATTCTTTCAATTAAATTACAACTAATTTTAAAAAACTCCATAACCTGAGATAAGTCTTCAGAATAACTAATGAGTAGCCATGATATTCAAAATAACAATGTCTATGACAAGTACTCTAATAAATCAGAATGAATGCCTGCCATAAACAGCCAGTGTGGCCATAGTGATGTATGCCAGGTAAATTTCACCTTTGCTTTCTAGATCAGAGAAAATTATTTAAAAAAATAAAATCTCATAAAACTAAACATGAGCTTATACCCATTAGTACCTCAATGCCTGTTATTAATAGTTAGTAGTCATGCTGGTTGGCTCATAAGTGTGACATAGTCTTTGTAAAACATATTTTCAATATCTTTTGGAAGATATTGAACCTGCTAAGAAATAAAATACAATTGAACACTGTATATTAAAATTTATTAGATATAGGAAAAGCAGTTGAGGGAAATTTTTATTTTTATAGAAAACAGCTTCATAAACAAGAGAGAATGAAAGAAACAGAAGATAAGGACAGGAAACTATAGAATTTGAATGTGAAGCCATATGCAAAGCATTGTGCTGTGCATTCACATCTTTTTTCTTATTAAATCTTCATTATAATGTTGAAAAGTATATCTCCTTATGGATGAAGAGACCAAGACTCATAGAAGTTAAGATCATGCAGGTTCTAAGTCGTAAAGCTAGTTTCCCAACCATGGTCTTGACTATAAAGACATGTTATTTCCTCCACTGCCTACTAGTATGAGGGGAAATGTCCTGAAGTCCAGCTGCACCTAAATCAGGAAACTAAAGACATTAGAGGGCAAGAAAGTTGAAATATCCTAAATGAATTTAACCTCAGAATTTCTCCAAATCTGTTAACTGGATATATTGGTAAATTCAGAGGACTATGATGACAAACTTCTCAATAATTTTAGCAAAAGCCATGGATAAGAGTGAATAATTCTCTGACTTTGTTTATTCCCAGTATTACATCATCCTCCTGAGAAACTCATTGATATCCTTGTGCCTACAGGTAACAGACAATACTCACAAGGAATCAAGTGTCTTAACCAAGCAGAAAACTGCTACATAAACCTAGGGTCTTGGGTGTTCAGTGTGATATACTTTAGGGATGAATTTTTAGGGTTCAAGGATTTTTAGTTTATAAGAGAGGCAGAAAACATTACTGGTTAGGAGACTGGATGTGCAATTATACTGTTGAGACCGAAATCTCACCTCCACATCTACCTTACTAATCTATAGCCTGTGCAAGCAATTTCACTTCTCTGAACCTCAGTTTTCTTATTTATTGTGAGGACTAAATATACAAGCTCATTCATCCATACTTTACAGCACTTCTCTCACTCTAGAGAAAGGGTCTTAGTCTGAAAAACCAAAGAGCCAGAGGCATAGTGAGAGTTCAACTATAATCACGTTTGCTGTGGTATAGTGGGTCACCTGGAAGATGTAGTCTAGCCATTATAAGAAATGAAAGGTTAAACACTAATGATGGACATTTAATGTGATGCTATAAATGGTGTGATTTTTATGCAAATATTAATGGTAATATCCTTGCAGTATATGAGAAAAGCAGAGCAAGAATTAAAACTGAACCCACATTTTAGGGAAAAAAGAAATAGAACCATTAAAAGGAGGAACAAGTTGTGAGAGATAAAAAGAGAGGCATGGATACGTAGCTTCACCAAGATCAAAAAATGGAAAGCCTCCAGAAGCTTAAAAGTAAATGAATATCCTAACTCTAAGGAAGGGAATTGGAAATATGGACTATAGGGAAGCAGTTTGTTTTAAAGCTGGCAACTGTGATTCAGCTCTGTATGGAAAATCTGCAGATGCAAAGTGGTGGGCAGGAGCCAAAACCTCAAACTGAGTAATCCCGTGGGAATCAGGCCTAGAAAACGTATACAGACTGTTACAGCTTGCTCTTGCTAAAACTCCCTCACCCTGGTCTGAAACAGTAGATGTTTATTGCCTATCTTCAAGGTAATTTGCAAAGCCTGTGTGAATTTTCATAAGGACCAAGCATAATCAGCTCCCCACCTTTCCCTTCTGCATTTGTTATTTTCATTTCCTTGATTGTACCTAATATATAGACATCAGAACTCTATGTGATAGGTAATAAATCCTTCTATGAGGTAAGACCTGAGAGAAACAATAAAAGCCTGTCCAGGAAAGGGTTGGGGTGCTCTCTCCTTGAGAGAAGTGGCTGTAGGACTCTCGTCTTAAGAGAATATCTGTACTGTCCCTTTTTCT